TTTTTGTATTACACGTTTAATTATTTTACATATAAAAGCATATTTTTAGTTCAAGAGAATATATTAATAAAAAAGCATATTTATGGCATATTTTATTATGATTTTTAAAGAATATTGGAAGAATATTTTCAACTTTTTAAGAGAATATTAGCATCTTATTTTGGCTATTTTAAAAGAATATAATTCCGGCCCCTATTTATGGTTAATAAATAAGTTATATAAAAAGTAGTGAATTTAATAATTTATTGTGAATTTAAAAATACTAAATGCATTAAAGTTTTTTTGACTAAGAGTTGATGCAAAGAAGCCATTTGGCAAATTTGTTGTTTAGCCAGTTTCGGTGCTTGCGAATAACTAAAGATGCTTTAGAAAAAAGTCTCTCTGTTGGAACAGAGGTGGCTGAAATTRACAAAAAATCTTTTGCCATCTTAGCTAACACAGGAAAGTGAACTTGGTTTAGCTTTCACCAATGTAATAAATCTTCACTTCTTGCACTCCTAGGCTGACTTAGATATGTTTCTAGTTCTTGCATACAATTGTGGAAATTTGTGTAATTAACCGGGGATGAATATAGTGTGTTAAAATCTATGATATCTTCATCACTATCAATGGTGTCATGGCATTCATGTTCTGGTGACTCTAACACTGGCTCTTGGTCATAGTATGTTTTGTCGATCACTTCAAATTTATGCTGGCTCATATTTTTAATCTCTACTGCCCATGGCGTTAAATCAAAAGTTTATGTCTTGGATCCAGAACAATGATATGCAGTAAATCCAATTTGTTTTCTTGTAGTGTTTTAAAATTTTATCACGTGCAGCTTGAAAACCCAAACTTAGTTGCTCATCTACTACAGTCCGTTGGATTTTCTCATCTAACTGTCTTATATTACTTTCTACCTTATCTTGGAGAAGAGTAACATATTTGTCGCCACCAAGTCTTATTGTAAGAATTTTAAAATAAATTAAAAATTTAAATACTTTTTCAAATATATACCATTCAGTTTCAGATATTTGTAAATTATTTAATTTTGGTAAAATACTAGGGTACATAATGTATTAATATTCCATTTTTCAATTTCAAAACTACCCCAAGCATGCCATGAGTAGAGTTCCACCTTGTTGGGCAGTCCAGTATGGGATTCATAGTTGTTGGTACAACTACTGTATCACATACCGAACAAAACTTGTTTTTCAGCTTTTCACTATTTATTATTTTACTGAAAATAGAACGCAGTTTCATTATGGTACTACTTGGGTTATGTTTATGTATAAGGACAATAAGGACATAGTCTTCAGTATTAGCTTCATTATTCTCCTGATTCACTTCCATTTTCACTATCTAATTCATTTTCACTATCCAACCCATCATCAGTTTGCAATGTTAAATTTTTCATTAAATCTTGTACTCCCAAGCTTAAAATGTGTGCGATACATCGAAAATCTTGGTTTTCTGTATCAAAACTGGGGAGCAATTTTCCAAGGTCTGCCATAAACTAAGTGTTTGCAGATGCATTGTCCACTGTAATCCCTTGTACT